AGGGGTCCGGGCCACGCGCGAGGCGGCCCCGGTAACGCGCTGCGTCCTCCCGCAGACTCCCGAGCCTTGCCCTCCTACCCACGCCGGAGCCGGGCCGCGGGGGTGCAGTATGCCCGCGCCCGCCGCCTGAGGACGCCGTGGCCCCCGCCCCAGCCATGGGAGCCCCGGCCTGCGCGCTAACGCTCTGCGTGGCCGTGGCCCTGGCGGTGGTGGCCGGAGCTGCCGGCCCCGGTAACGCGCTGCGTCCTCCCGCAGACTCCCGAGCCTTGCCCTCCTACCCACGCCGGAGCCGGGCCGCGGGGGTGCAGTATGCCCGCGCCCGCCGCCTGAGGACGCCGTGGCCCCCGCCCCAGCCATGGGAGCCCCGGCCTGCGCGCTAACGCTCTGCGTGGCCGTGGCCCTGGCGGTGGTGGCCGGAGCTGCCTCCGAATCCCCAGGCACAGAGCAGCGCCTTGTGCGGAGAGCCGCAGGTAAGGACCGACTATAGGTCCCCGGGAGGGCCCCTCGGGCCCCCCCAAGAGGCGTCGGGGACCCCGAACAGCCCCTGGCGGAGGAGCAGCACCCGGGCGGGTGCCTGAGTTCCGTCGCCGTCCTCGCCACCCCGAGATCGCGGCCAGGCCCGACGCGGGCGGTTTATGGGGAGTCTGGAGCGCTGGGGCCACCACCCAAGTTCCAGGGGCCGCGGGGAACCGCAAGCGGCCTTTTCCCCCGGGCTCCCCAGCCGAGGCGCGAGTTTCCACGATTCCCATTGTTGCTCCTCGGTTCTGCGAGGGCCAAAAGTTTCCCGTCGTGGGCCCCCCGGCCTCTGGGCACCGTGGTCAGCTTCGTCCAAAGTGAACTTTGGAGAGTGGGTAGGCGTGCTCCAGCCAGAGCCCCACGGTGACAAGGTGACAGCCGAGGACACTCCCTCCACTTCTGTGCGCCGCCCGAGTGTCCGATCCCGGGGGAGGCTGCGCCCAGGGAAGTGGAGGGGCTGATGCCGTCCAGGCTCCGGTGGGACGTGGAGAGTCACTGAACAGACCCGCGAGCGAGCAGCGCACCCAGGTCCGCCGCGTGCTGGCGCTGCTGCAGGACGTGCGCCGCGCGCGGCCCCTGGGGAGAGGGGAGGCCTGGCGGGCGGCCGCGCGGAGGGAGGCCTTCGCCCGGTGAGCTGTTGCCCCACCCGGGCCTCGGCCCGAACAGCCGCTCCTTTGTACCCGGGCGGCCACAGACCGCGCATTGATGGCGGCGCGGCCTCGCGGGGAGGTGCGAGCACGCCGGGCGCAGCGGGACAAGGCAGATGGCGGCGCGCCCCTCCCGGCGCCCCCGAGCCCCTTTCTCCCTCGGCGGCTGCAGCCTCCTGGAACAATGTCATTTTTTTATGAATGAAAGTGGGCCCGACGCTTGAATGTGCGTGTCATTCAGCGGCGTGACAGAGGCCGTCGGGAGGTCAGCGCGCGCTTTTAGCGCCTGCCCCGACGGCCCGGCTTTCCGAGCCGAATGGCCGGCGACGGGGAGCCGCATTAGCATGCGCATTCAGATGAAGCTATTACGGCCGGCTCCGGGTGTCAGCGAGCCCGGAAGGGCGGCGGGCGGGGCGCAGATCCTCTCGGTGCCGCGGTTGGACGGTGGCCTCCCCGCACTCCAGCTGCGGGAACGCAGAGCGCACCCGAGTGCTCCGCGCCCCCGCACTGGAGCTGGTGAAACAGGTAGGGAAGTTGATAGGTCAATAAACTTAATCCGGTTCCTTAACGAGATGGGCCCGGCAGTAAAAATACAAAGACCTCGTGAAGTTTACAGAGGTCTGGGCTGGCGCTTTCCCCAGGAGCATAAATGAGGGAGAAGGAGCTGGCTGTGGTCAAGGGCGGTGGGGCAGGGCTTGGCCCCTGGACTGCACTGGCCGCTCCTGGTCTCACCAGCATGGCTTATGTGCTTAGTAGGGGGAGAGGGTGAGTGACTTGCTGGGGGTCGAAAGGTTGGCAACCCCCCCCCCCAGTAAGGCGTGGTAGGTGAGAAGGACCTTCCACCTCCCAGGGCGTTACCTGTAGCCTCCCCCCACCTGGCTTAAGGCAGGACTGGACTTTGAGCCCTGCAGGCCTCTGGGTGGTTCATTAACCTGGACTGATCCTGGGTCCTGAAGCTTAAGATCCAGTGCTGAGCCTAGGAGCCCTTTGCCCTCTAGGCATCAGGTCCCACATAGGCCTGGAACCCGGACTCTGATTCCCTCATTTTTACTGCTGCCTTTAGGAAAGAATTGAGGAGGTGGTTAGGGGAAGGGTGAGGTCTTGGAGTAAGGCAGCCTGCCCTACCAGGTTGAGAAATGACTGAGCTGTGAGCCAAGCCATCCCCGGTGGAGGGGTGTCTGCCTGGACCTCTGGAGCTCCAGGCTGTGGTTGCCTGTCCAGGCGTGGGCGCCTGCCTGGGACCTCAGTTTCCTTACCTGCCCTATCCAAGAGGACTGCTAATGGCAGTGTTGTTTGGAAGATTAGGCCGGATAATCCCCCAGTAAGCCCTCATTAGCTGGCCTGGCCTCCCGGTCCTTTTTTTCTTTCTTGACTTTGTTACGAAACTTTGTGGAATGTCTCCAGTCTCTGGGTGGGATGGTTTGGGAGGCTGGGGGAAGGGAAGAAGCAGGAAGGCCAGAGACCCTTGGTTTCAGGGTGGGCACCCTCCCTTCTGGGTTATTCTAACACCTGGCCATATCCCCTCAGCAGCTGCAGGTTCATTGCGTCACTATCATTGTTTCATACCAAGTCCAAATCCCTGAAATCTCGAAGGGTGATCAACCTCAGAAACAGGTCTGAATTTGATGCTCATTCTGAGGGGTACACTTGGGGCCTCAATGGTAGTGACTAGAACTGGATACCAGGTGCTCCTTTCTGAAGGCTGGTTAGCTGTGGCTTGATCTCCTTGTCTGAAGCAGAAGTGCCCCTCACCCCCTACTTTTACAGGCTCCAGCCACTTACTGGTGAAGTGGCCTTTCTGGGCCCTAGGCCTGCAAGATGGGATTTGTACCTTGTGCCACAGTAAAGGAACCCCAGGGCCAGCACAGCCCTTCTGGGACACAGTGTATTTGTCCTGTACCAGTGAGCATGTTGTGCCCTGGTCTGTCTTGGCAGTATTTGGCAATCAGGATACCAGTGGGGACAGATACAGTGGAGCCCATGTAGTGGGGGCACTCTCCATCTACGGCACAGCAGATGCACCAGTACCTGTGTGGTATAGGTCATTGATGGGCTCTAAGGAGTTGTTCTCATGTGCTGCTGGAGGCTCATAGGGTGTGGGGGGCTCTACTGGCCTGTGCTGCTACCACCTCCTCAGGATGTGCCAGACTCAGTGTCATTCTCTTCTCAGGTCTAGTTCCACACTGCCCTTTCCTCCTTATTAATGGGCTTAACTCCTGATCTGATTCCCTATAGGCCCTGTGGCCCTGGGATAAAGTCACAGGAGTGGAGACACTGCTGTTTAAGTCCCCCAAAGTCCAGGTGTCTGGACTCTGCTGGCTCTTGGTGGACGGGATGGGTAGGCAGGTCAAGGGTCAGCTCTCAACTGACTACAGGGACATTTCCCCTTTCCACCTAATGGCTGCAGCCATCTGCTGCTCAGTAGGGCTGGGCTGGGGGTTGCTGTGTCCTCTCTGAGTCCCTTGCTGGACCAGGTTAAAGCAAATACTTGTGCGAATGGCTTGACCTCTTGTTTTGCCCAGACCAAACCGGAACCAACTGGCTATTGCCTTTGGGCCAGGGCCTAGACTGAGGCTACTGACCAGCCTGTTCTTGGCCTTCTGGGGGGCCTCAGGCAGCTTCCAGCAATGGGTGGTCCCCCATAGGATATGACAGCAGGATTGGAGAGCTGGAGGTCAGGCCAGAAGGCCCATGGCTATGGGGCCCACCCAGGGACAAGCTAAGAGCTGTGGGACCCTGAGGGATATGAGCCTCATGGATACTTCTGGGGACATGTGGGTCCCTCTGGCTGTCAGAATCCCGGTGGGCTCTGGGCCTATGGGCTGACTCTGGGATGGGCAGAATTGGGTCTGGCTTTGGATCTAGGGACTGGTGTGGCCAGAGTGGGCAGCTGGGCCTCGAATCTAGGCCATGCATCGGCAGAATGACAAGCGATGGCGCAGCCGGTCCAGCTGGGTCTAGGGAAGGAGGTCTGCCCAGCAGGACCACCCACCCCTGTCCTGGGCCTCAAGCCCAACTGCCCCCATGCTGGGCATTGTCTGGTTCTGGCAGGGAGGCCTGGGGATGACGGTCAGAATAGGTGGTAGTGTGTCCCTGGGTCTCGAGGCCTTTGGGATTCCTCAAGAACTGGGCAGCAACTGAATGGGAGCGGTACATGACCACCTATGTCTGCCCACCTGAGGGCTTCTGCTGCCCTACTTTCTCAGCCCTCAGGGTGAGCGGCTGGCTCCACTGGCTATGGCTCTAGCTCCAACTGGCACACATGAAAACTCTGTCAGCACCTTCAAGGCTGGTCTTCATCTGTCGAATGGGGGTCACAGCCACTTAGCCACCTTGTGAGCTCATATGGGCTCCTTAGCCCATTGTCCTGAGACTCATGGCCAGACCTGGTGTCCTTTCTCTATGTCTGTCCTAGTTTTCTTTTCGTTTTTGGGTTTTCTTTTTTTTTTTTTCTGTCTTTTTAGAAAGGGTCTCCCTGTAGCCCCAGCTGTCCTGGAACTCACTATGTAGACCAGGCTGGCCTCGAACTCACAGAGATCCGCCTGCCTCTGCCTCCCGAGTGCTGGGACTACAGGTGTGTGCCATCATGCCCAGCTTCATTTTTGTCTTCTTAAGAGAGGGCCTCCTTCTAGCCCCAGCTTTCCTGGAACTTACTATGTAGACCAGGCTGGCCTTGAACTCACAGAGATCCACCTACCTCTACGGCTTGAGTGCTGGGCTTAAAGGCATGTGCCTGATGCAGTCTGTCCTATTTTTCTAACTGGCTGCCATGTGGAGCAGGCACGTAAGCTGCAAGGCACAGACGCTCCCTTCTCAGGGAGCCTCCACCTGACACATCTCGACTGCTCATGAGGTACATGGGGTGTGCAGCTCCCGAGCACAGACAAGTGCCACCCACCCATGTAAAAACAGCAGACGTCTGATCTTGCATCTCCTTCCCACTTCTCATTTATTTTAATTTTGTTGTAAGACCTTTCGGTGCCTGTTATTGTTGGGTTGGGGGTTGCTATGTCTCCTCCATCGTCTTTGTCTTGCTGAGAGGAGTTGTGAGTCAGCGCAGACCACTGGCAGAGCCGAGTACTGACACCCCTGGGCTCCTACCTTAGTGAACATGTCTGCCAGGACCCCAGGCTCTGACAGCACACCCTTCTCACTTGCCTGCTACAGCCTTCGCTAGTGTGTTGCAAAGTCAGGTGCTGGGCCACCAGCGTGCTGCTTTGGGGAATCCCTCTCACAGCCACTCACTTCTTCCACAGAGGTGCCAGAGCCTGAGCCTAGCCAGGAGGAGCAGGTGGCCTTTGGCAGTGGGGATACCGTGGAGCTGAGCTGCCACCCACCTGGGGGTGCCCCTACAGGCCCCACCGTCTGGGTCAAGGATGGCACAGGGTTGGTGACCTCCCATCGAATCCTGGTGGGGCCCCAGCGTCTGCAGGTGCTGAATGCCTCCCACGAGGATGCAGGAGCCTACAGCTATCGGCAGCGTCTCACTCAGCGCGTCCTGTGCCACTTTAGTGTGCGTGTCACAGGTAAGTGCTTGTTGGTTGTGGCTGCCAAATGCCCAGAGCAGCGGCATAGCCAGGAGAGGCCAGGGACAGTCCCAGGCAGGGTGGCCATAGCATCCCTGGCTTGAGGATGTTGCTGGCTGTTGAGAGAGGGTGGGGTTACCCCCTAGGAAGTGCTGTCTAAATATGTGCCCTTGCAAGGGCAGGACCCCAAAGGTAGGGATCAGTGGGCTCTGAAGGTGGACAACAGAGGGCCCCAAGTGTAGGGAGTCACAAGTCCTGGTTGTGGGGGTATCACAGCCCTGCCCACTGATACCGACCTTGCAGATGCCCCGTCCTCAGGAGATGATGAAGATGGGGAAGATGTGGCTGAAGACACAGGTGAGATAAGAGTCCAGGTGCACTGGGCTGGCTTGGGTGGGGTTGCCTCCTTCCTACAGTCTAGGGGTCAGAGGGGGTCACTGCTGCAGGTGTGGAAACCAGGGCACAGCGCTCCAGGAGGAGTGAGGAGGCAGGGCTGGCGTGCAGGGCCTTCAGTATTGACTAGTGGGGAGGGACACACAGTTGAAAGGCAGGGCAGGGGCTCAGGTTGCTGCCAAGGGACAAGCAGACCCAGCGATTAGGAGACTAGTGGCTACTGTGTCAGGCCAGCAGGAAGGGAAGGTGGCTGTGCTGGGCTGAGGCACAGACTGTAAACGTGGTGTAGTGTTGTTTATGACAAGGTGTGGATATGCCAGGGCAGCTGGAGTGACGATACCCAGGGAGAGGTCAGTGGGGAAGTGTGTGTGTGTGTGTGTGTGTGTGTGCGCGCACGTGTGCGTGTACATGTGTGTGCACATGCATGGTGCAGATTAGGGCCACCATAGGACAGACATCAGGGAGGTGGTTATGACTTGGGAACTAGGGTGTGTAGACTGAGTCCCTGGACCATCTGGGCCTTCTGGGGTGGAATGGAGAGGAACTGGTCAGAGACAGAACTAATGGGAAACCAGGGGTCTCAGGAGTCTGTGTGTGGAAGGAAGAACAGGTACTAGGGGCTTAAGATTTTAGGGTGTGGAAACCTGGTTATAGGACTGAGGCCAACAGAGCCCCCTGTTCTGAGGAGTGGTTGAGCTTCTCATTTCCCTTTTCCCTTTGACTACCAGGATGTTCAGAGCAAAATTTCTAGCACAGTTGCCCTGTCAGCCTCTGCCCTCAGCCACATTCCCAGTACCCTGGCCCTGAGTTCCATTTACTTCTGTCCCCATGGCCTTCCTAGGCTGTGTGTGGTGTTCGAGCCCCATGTCAGTGAGCAATGTTACGTCTGTGGGACACAGTACCTGCCACAGCCTACTGGGATCTTGGTAACCCTAGGAGCCTGGGAGGGCAGCTCAGAGCTAGAAGGGGCCTTCTACCTAGTGTCCATGTACCTTGTTCCCTCTTATCCTGTGCTGAGAGTCCCTCTCCTTGACTCCTACTGGGTTCTGCCTCCTAGGAACCTGTACCTGTGGGCCTATCCTCGAGGGAGAAGAGGGGCATGCCCAACTCTGAGTTGGGTTGCTGTGGGTGCTGGCATTCAGATTCCGGGAGCCTGTCTAGGCAAAGCAGAGGACTCATCACACAGGAGGAGAAACAGGCTAGAGGGTGGACAGGGCAGCTTTGGGCTGTCACCGATTATGGCCTTCACGGACATCTCTGCCATCAGGGGCCCCTTACTGGACTCGGCCAGAGAGGATGGATAAGAAACTGCTGGCTGTACCGGCCGCCAACACTGTTCGCTTCCGCTGCCCGGCTGCTGGCAACCCCACTCCCTCCATCTCCTGGCTGAAGAATGGCAAGGAATTCCGTGGGGAGCATCGCATAGGGGGCATCAAGGTGGGTCTGGTAGAGGGGACCTGAGGGGTAGGGCCCGGCACAGAGGATGTAGCCTGTGGCTGCTCACCTGCTTACCACCCCACCCACAGCTGCGGCACCAGCAGTGGAGCCTGGTCATGGAGAGTGTGGTGCCCTCCGACCGTGGCAACTATACCTGTGTGGTGGAGAACAAGTTCGGCAGCATCCGACAGACATATACCCTGGATGTGTTGGGTGAGGGCCAGGTCGAGTAGGCTAAGGCAGGGCAGCCCTGGGCCCCTTGACCTGCTGCTCTGACCTTGCTGTCTCTTGCAGAACGTTCTCCACACCGGCCCATCCTTCAGGCGGGGCTGCCGGCCAACCAGACAGCTGTTCTGGGCAGCGATGTGGAGTTCCACTGTAAGGTGTACAGTGATGCACAGCCACACATCCAGTGGCTGAAACACGTGGAGGTGAATGGCAGCAAGGTGGGCCCCGATGGCACGCCCTACGTCACTGTGCTCAAGGTAGGCTCTGCTGCCGCCTAGGGTAGGTGGGTGGGTGGATCTACTGGGGTTCTTTGCCCATGGGTCCATCTTGGCTGAGGCATGTGTTAGGATTGAGGTCCAAGCATTGGAACTTCTGGGAAGGGTCAGCTGAGTCCAGGTGCTTCTCACCTGCTCTGAGTTCCAGGGAGACTCTGTGCTCCATGTGCTATGCCATGGAGCCTGTCTCCCTGTCTGCTCTGAGCCAGGCCTTTGCCCCTAAAGCCCCACAGCTTGAAGCTGGGCCTCTCTTGGGTGACAGCTATGGTGACTAGGGGCAGGAAGATAAGTGCTGAGCTGGTATCCTCTGGATCCCAGAGACCTGGTAGCCACTCCACAAGCTGGCTTAGATTGGCTGGTATTATCTACTTGCAGTGTCGTACTGGCTCTGTCCTGCCATCCTGCCTCCCTTTGCCTGTAGCTTTGTTCCATGGCTTCGGGTGGGGGCCACCGGAGTTGGGACTTTGGGACACTGGAAGTCCAAAGAGAAACATCTGTTCAGAGACAAGGCGGTCTGGTGGGGGAGGGGAACAGGAGCTGGCAGAAGCAGGAATCTTGGCCTAGGGAGAAGACACTGGGGCCCTGTCTGAATGTGCTTCTCACCCGAGGCATAGTCACCCTGCCATGCAACTTGGGGTGAGGGTGTTGGGGCTGTGGGTTCTGGTTGTGTTGGGGGGGAGGTGGGAGTGGACACAAGGGCCAGTCTGTGAAACTAAGCCTACCACTGCTTTAATGCTCCTCCCTTCCAGGCACCCCTCCATCCAGGTGTCCATCCTGGGGTCGGGGGGAGGTCTCCCTTGCCTGCCTTGTCCTCATGTCCTCATGTCCTCATGGCCAGCTGGAGCTGGCTCGGGGTGTGCCTGAGCCCAGTCTCTTGTCCCCGCAGTCCTGGATCAGTGAGAATGTGGAGGCAGACGCACGCCTCCGCCTGGCCAATGTGTCGGAGCGGGACGGGGGCGAGTACCTCTGTCGAGCCACCAATTTCATAGGCGTGGCTGAGAAGGCCTTTTGGCTGCGTGTTCGCGGGCCCCGAGCAGGTAACCACTCTGTCCCACGCCTGCCCGGCACGCTGAGCTCCAGCTCCAACGCCCCAGCCGTGCGGCTGCTGCCCGCCCATCCCGCTTGGCCCTGCCTGCGGCTCCCACTCCACCAGTGATGCCGTGGCAACACTGGTAGCCCCCGGCCACCACTGACCAACTACCTGCTTCAAGCACCCCAGGCTTGTGCTGACCCCTCTTGCACGTCCCCTCCCGACTTGCACATTTAGAATGTCCTTAGAGCCTGCCAGGGGCTGAACTCCGTACTACTTGTGAGCACCCACCTTCTGCCCCTCTCCGGCTGACTCCGGTGCCTGCTGGCTTCCTGTCCATCTACCAGTCTGTCCCTCTCTCCATCATCTGCAACCCTCCCACTTCTGCACTAACTCTGCATGCTGCCTCTGTGTGGCACCACGCTGCCCACCTGCCTGACGCTTACCCGGGACAGAGGACTCGCCACCGGTGGAGGGACTGGCTTCAGGCTCGGTGCCCGCGCTCCAGGCAGAGGGCCCTGGGCCGCCGTGGCCGTGGCAGGGCCGTGGTGGTGGCCGAGGTGGTGGTGGCCGCGTTTTCCTTGCAGCCTGGCTGGATCGTCGCCCCGTGGACTGTGCTGCGGTGCCCAAAGGGAGGTGCTGGCGCTTGCCTATCGCGCTCTGTTCTCTCTTTGTAGACGGCAGGCGCTAACACCACCGACAAGGAGCTAGAGGTTCTGTCATTGCACAATGTCACCTTTGAGGACGCGGGGGAGTACACCTGCCTGGCAGGCAATTCTATCGGGTTTTCCCATCACTCTGCGTGGCTGGTGGTGCTGCCAGGTACTGGCTCCTGCTGCTGCTCATGCTGCACCTGTCCTCTTAGGGTGCTCACTCAGGACATGCCAAAGCCCCGGGGAATGGCAGGAGGCCCCTGTGGCTCATTGCTACCCCATCCACGTGGCTCATTCTGGCCTTGTGCATGGTATGGGAGCATCAGCCTGCCCCATCCTGGTCCAGAAGGACCTCCCCTCCATCTCCAGCTCATCCCCAACTGCCCTGCACTGAGGCTCTGGCATCTCCTGGGTGCCTTGGGTGGCGGTGTGGGTGCTGCTGGCTCTGCTAGGCTTCTCTCCTGGGTCTGGCTCCTGCTGACTCACAGATATTTTGACTGTACTACTAAGGTGAATGAGGGCCATGGGCCCCCAACTCCAAGCACCCCAGATCCCTTTTTTTCCTACTGGTGCCTGTGGTTCAGGCCATAGAAGTCCCAAAAGAGTGGGCCAGGCCCCAACACCTGTGTCTTTGCAGTTGAGGAGGAGCTGATGGAGGCTGGTGAGGCTGGCAGCGTGTACGCGGGCATCCTCAGCTACGGGGTGGGCCTCTTCCTCTTCATCCTGGTGGTGGCGACTGTGACACTCTGTCGCCTGCGCAGTCCCCCCAAGAAGGGCCTGGGCTCCCCAACTGTGCACAAGGTCTCTCGCTTCCCACTTAAGCGACAGGTAACAGAAAGTAGATACCGGGTTTTGAGCTCCCTGTCCTCCTGCCCTGGCCCTCCAGAGGCCCATAGGGTCCAAGGCCTGGGTCTGCCTGGGATGAGTTTTTCTGCAGTTGGGTGGGCTGTTCCCTGCCTCTGTTCTCCACATGGAGCCAAGCTCTGAGGCACATGACATCTTTTAGTCTTCAGTTGATCTTGCCACTCCTGGGGGCCACACCACCCTACCCATCTCCAGCCCCTGACCCCATTGTGCGGCACCAACCTGCCCCTGCCGACCCAAGCAGGTGTCCTTGGAGTCCAACTCATCCATGAACTCCAACACACCCCTGGTCCGCATCGCCCGGCTGTCCTCGGGAGAAGGTCCTGTCTTGGCCAATGTTTCTGAACTTGAACTGCCTGCTGACCCCAAGTGGGAACTATCCAGGACCCGGTCAGTGGTGGTGAGGGACGGCACGTGCCTGATGGGGTTCTGTGGTGGGAACTGGATGGCCTGCTGGAGTAGGATAAGGTGCTCCTGAGGTGGGGTGCAAGGTGAGGTCTGAGAGGGCTGCCCTTTGTCTTCATGTCCACGGTCAGCTGTGGGGCATCCTGGAGGTAGTGGCGGCCGGGGATTCTGGTTGCACACTCACTGCCTCTGCTCCTGTGGCCAGGTTGACGCTGGGCAAGCCTCTCGGGGAGGGCTGCTTTGGCCAGGTTGTCATGGCGGAGGCCATCGGCATTGACAAGGACCGCACAGCCAGGCCGGTCACTGTGGCTGTGAAGATGCTGAAAGGTGAGGAGGGAGAGAAGCAACAATGGGCATTTGAGGGCCGTGGGGGCCATCACCCGACACCCCCACTCCCTACTCTTGGCAGATGATGCCACTGACAAGGACCTGTCGGACCTGGTGTCTGAGATGGAGATGATGAAGATGATTGGCAAGCACAAGAACATAATCAACCTGCTGGGGGCCTGCACGCAGGGTGGTAAGCACAGTGGGAGGTGGGTGCACGTGGGGTGGTGGGTGCAGCAGGTGGACTAGTGGGCCTGCACACAGGGCGGTAAGCGCAGTGGGAGGTGGGTGCATGTGGGGTGGTAGGTGCGGCAGGTGGACTAGTGGGCCTGCACGCAGGGTGGTAAGCACAGTGGGAGGTGGGTGCACGTGGGGTGGTAGGTGCAGCAGGTGGACTAGTGGGCAGGGTTCCTGATGAGTCACATAGCACCTCTGAGGTGCCTGTGCTCCCAGGGCCCCTGTATGTGCTGGTGGAGTATGCGGCCAAGGGCAATCTGCGGGAGTACCTGCGGGCACGGCGCCCTCCAGGCATGGACTACTCCTTCGATGCATGCAGGCTGCCTGAAGAGCAGCTCACTTGCAAGGATCTGGTGTCCTGTGCCTACCAGGTCGCCCGGGGCATGGAGTACCTGGCCTCGCAGAAGGTGAGCGGGGGCATGGGTATAGGCCCGGCAGCCCCTCTAGGTAGAAAAGTGGGTGACGAGCTTGCCTGAACTGGTGAGGGGTTGGCTTAGCTTAGGGTCCTGTCTCTGCAGTGCATCCACAGAGACTTGGCTGCCCGGAACGTCCTGGTGACCGAGGACAATGTGATGAAGATTGCAGACTTCGGCTTGGCCCGTGATGTGCACAACCTGGACTACTACAAGAAGACTACGAACGTGAGTCCTGGTCTGGGGTGGGTGGGGTGCAGGGCTCAGCCAGAGGACACCTGACAGCCAACACCCACCTCTCTCTGCCTAGGGCCGGCTACCTGTGAAGTGGATGGCACCAGAGGCCCTGTTTGACCGGGTCTATACCCACCAGAGTGACGTGTATGTGTCCCCACATGGAATAGGGATGGCAAGTTCTGGGGACAGCCAAGACCCCAGCTGTACTTCTTACAGCTTCCAGGGCCCTGGTCTTCTCAGGCACTAGTGCGTCCCCTTGGGCCAACAGCACAGTCCTGGCCTCTCCCTCCCTGTCCTGGTGCCCCACCTTGCCCACTGGTAATATGTCCTGGGACAGGGCTACAGAAATGGCCTAGGGGTAATAGGCCATCTGTCCTTGCCCCCTTGCAGCTGGTCCTTTGGGGTCCTGCTCTGGGAGATCTTTACTCTGGGGGGCTCACCATACCCTGGCATCCCAGTGGAAGAGCTTTTCAAGCTGTTGAAAGAGGGCCACCGCATGGACAAACCAGCCAACTGCACACACGACCTGTGAGAGAATGTCCCTTACTTATTCCTCCACCGAGTCTCTGGGGATGGTGGGATTCCTGTCAGGGCGCCTGGGGTGAGTGGGACACTGGCAGCCTGGGGTGATGTGGGGACAGGCCAGAAGCCCACAACTGTGCCTGCCACAGGTACATGATCATGCGGGAATGCTGGCATGCAGTCCCCTCCCAGAGGCCCACTTTCAAGCAGCTGGTAGAAGACCTGGACCGCATCCTCACTGTGACATCCACTGACGTGAGTGCCGTGTATTCTTGTTCCCTATGTCTGCTTCCTGAGGGTGGTGCTTCTTGGAGTTCCAGCAGTTGGACTTGCCTTTCAGGGCACAGCCTGAACACAACAGCTGTGGGATGGAAGGGGATATGTATTGGGGTCCAGTCCTGACAGCCTTGTCCACCAACAGGAGTACCTGGACCTATCTGTGCCTTTTGAGCAGTACTCACCAGGTGGCCAGGATACTCCCAGCTCCAGCTCCTCGGGGGACGACTCTGTGTTCACCCACGACCTGCTGCCCCCAGCACCACCCAGTAATGGGGGACCTCGGACGTGAGGGGCCAACAGTACCACAGCTCAGGCCCAGACAATGTTTACGCGGACCCCAGCCCACCCTGCTGCTGTAGGTGCAGTGGATCCCGGCCAGACCAGTGCGACAGGCAGACAATAGACAGGACTTCCTGTATGTGTGTCCTTGGCCCCTGGATAAAGAGGCCTCCTGGGAACCTGTACTGCTGTAGAGCGAGCTCCTGACTGGCTGGGGCCAGGAGCAACAAATGTAGAATGTAAGGGACCTCACCCTGTATAGCCCTGGGGTTCTGGCTCACTCATCCCCTGGTACCACCTTGCAGGGACCAGGGATCATTGCAGAGAATGTTGGACTCCATGTCCAGGGTGGGCCTTGGCCTCTCTGCTGCCCAAAGCTGAGCCTGCAGGGAAGCCCTGCCCGTGTGGCGAGCCTCCCTCATACATGGCACCTTGTGCCTGGGGGTGAGTCACAGCTCCTCACCTCCAGACCTCTCCACTCCCCACCCTGCCCCCTCAGAGACTGAAATTACGGGTACCTGAAGGTGGGAGCCATTAACTTCTGTCCGAAAGGTTTATTCCAGGAGCAAGTGTACATTTATATAAATAGATGCTGTGTATGATATATACATACATACATATATATACACACACATATATGTATATATATATGAATATGTGGAAGAAGGCAAAGCTGAGACCCAGGGAACAAGATGCCCCATGGGGATTCACTGGTTAGATGATAAGAGCCAGCAGAGGAGCAAAGGGCTTTTCCGGCACCATGGTTTTGTTTGTGCCTGGACCTGTATATTTGTAAAGCTATTTATCAACTCCCAGAGCCCCAGTCCCCCAGCCCACATTCATAGCATTTAGCCAGTGTGGCAGAGAGATTTAAGTTTTAACTTATTAACAGCTGAGGAGGTGGAGGTTTATGCTGCATTTAGGGGTGTTGCTGAGAATGTTATCTGGCCCATGCCAAGGCTGGAGGTGGCCCCTTGGAGCCTGAGCTACCCTCATAGTTGGAGGTGGCTCCAGTGAGTGTTTTTTTATTACCTTTGACCCTCTTGCATGGGGCAGTTAGACTTCCACAGGATCTTTTTTAGGAGATTTATTTTTTGAATTTTAAAGTGAGTTGGTATTTTCATAAAGATTCTTCTAATTGCTGTGTGTTCCAGGTGTGCGCCTGTGCCCAGGGAGGGGTCAGCCCCGCACACAGGTTCAGATGTTACAAGTTTATGTATATCTATATATATATAATTTATTGAGTTTTTACAAGATGTATTTGCTGTAGACTTAACACTTCTTATGCAATGCTTCTAGAGTTTTATAGCCTGGACTGCTACCTTTCAAAGCTTGGGAGAGAAAGCCTTGAATTCAGTTTTGTTACATTTTGTATCTTACTGGGCCCCAGGCATAGGTGGCTGTCCCTTGCCAGTCAGCGGGGCCAGGGCAGTGGCTCAGGGTGACTCTTCTTGGGGCCCAACATGTGGTTTGTCGGCCCACACCGGCAGATACGGTTTTGTTAACACAACCGACGTACTTTGCAAAAAATAAAGAGACAACGGTTTCTGATTCTACCTGTGCCTCTTCTGTTCTGGGACCTGGGCAGCTGTGTCCTTACTGCCTGGGACAGGTTCTGGGGTTTGTCTCCAGGGAAAGAGACAACAGCAGTGGAGGGATCAGTCCCCAGAGCAAGGTGTTGGTCCCAGGCCCCAAATGGACTGCTGTCTTTGCTGGGCCTTCCCAGGGTGAGGGCAGCTGGGCTTGGGTAGGCATGCCTGTGGTCTGAGGCTAGCACCCAGAACCTCAGGGTTACCAGAGTCTGGGGGTCCCAAGGATAGGATACAAGAGAGTTGGTGTCTATAGGAGAGGGGGCTGTGAGCATGTGGAGGGAAGTGTGCTGGGCCTGTCCAGCTCCCTGGCTGCCTTACCAGGGGAGGGACTTGGGGACACAGGGTTGTGCACAGGTACTTATAACCCGGGGTGGGAGGGCAGATAGGCCAAGCCCCTGGTTCAGTCTATAATGGTGGCCACTCCTGCCTGTGACCAACCTATACCTCTGTCTCCTAACAGTTTGTCAGTGTCTTTGGACAGATGCTACAGCTCTGGGCTGCTAGCTGGTCACTGAGGACAGAGACAGAAGACAGCAGGATAGGAAAATGAAGGGTTACTACAGTTACCCACAAATGTGAAGTCTGGAAAGGCTTCTCCGAGGACAGGCAGGGTGGTCAGGGGTGAGTGGTCCAGGGCTCACCCATCTTTTCTGTCTCACTTCTAAACTGTTGGACTGACTGAACTTTGACCTTGGGATCAGACTCACCTAGGTGAGGGCTCTTTTCTGCACAGGCAAAGCCACTGGAGTCTTGGTTCTAGGTGGCTGAAATCTGAGCCAGGGGACCCTCAGGGAAGTTCTGGGTTTTAGAGGCAGATGTAGGCTAGGGGTGGTGGTGTGTGCCTTTAGTCCAAGCACTTGGGAGGCTGAGGCAAGCGGATCTCTGAGTTTAAGGCCAGCTTGGTCTATATAGTAAGTTCGAGGCCAGCTGGGGCTATAGGGAGACCCTGTCTCAAAAAGACCAAAAATAAATAGAGGCAGATGTAGGCATGGCTTCTGTTTCCCACAGCAACCTCACAAGGGGCAGCAGACAGCTTCATGCCAGAGACCCCTGAACCTGGCCTGGCCATGAAGACACCTGTGACAGTAGCCGGGGCAGGAAGATGCCACTGGAGGGCCTAAGCCCCAGAGGCAAAAGCCTGGGTAAGCTTGTGTAGGGAGGTACTCATCCCTGAAGAGAGGCTTGTACTGCCTAGACAAGCAGTGTGTAGGCCAGGGGTGCCCCCTAGTGCTGTGCTGAGCCTAGCTCCCTCACCCCCCCAACACCCTGCAACCTAGAAGCCACTCTCAAGCCCAGGCCCTTGTGGATCCCAAATGGAGTAACACCAAGGGGTTGGTCCCTGGGGGTTGCAGTGGCCTTTTGAGGGCCAGGGGCAGTGGGAACATAGGTCAGGCCACTCTGACAGGAGGTGACCCCCCATTGTCTCCACCCCTACCTCCCTGGGATTCTCCAGTCAAGGTCAGCCTCTGCCCTTGGCAGAGACAGGGTCAGGCCTTCAGCTGCTCCACCAGGGGCTACTGGGTGGCCACTGCCCAATGAGAACACAGCACAGATGTGGTCTTGTGCCACCCAGTGTTGGGTTTGCACTTGAACTTCCCATACCCTCGGAAGACAGGACCCCTCTGTCTAGTCTCCTCCAGTCTGGAAGAATCCCTCACCCCCTACAGCTTTGCCTTCTGGATATGGGTGGTGGTGCTGGTGGATAGTTGTCTGGTTGGCTCTGGCAGGCATCAGGGACAAGCTCCCAGCCTGACTCCTGCTTACTGCCGGTGGCCTGTGCCTGCCCATCATCCTGGGTTGGTCCCAGTGGTCTCAGGACCGGCAGCAAGAATTATCTTCCCATGACAGCAGGAAGCTGGTTGCCAGAGATGGCTCAGCAGTTAAGAGCATTGGTTGTTCTTGCAGAGGACCAGGTTCAGATCCCCGATTTAGATTCTAGGGGATCCGAAACCCTCTTCTGGCCTCAATGGAAGACACTCATATACATAAGTGAAAAAAAAAATTAAAATATATAAATGCAGGAAGCTGGTTGTGTCAAATGTCTGGTTTTTCCAGTAAGAATCAGGTACAAGCACTCCCCAGTGCCCAGCATACAATGATCTTTCCCCAAGAGTCACTGGGAGAACTAGACTTCCATTTACTTCCCAAGTTCGTCATTATGTTTGCGCTGTCCTCACTGTGGCCCTTTGGCCCTCTGACCTAGCTGCTGTGCCGTTGGAATGGCTGTGCCCACCAGCAAGCAGCTCCTGTCCCTACCCTGACACTTGCATCTCTTGAGCTTGGGAACCAATGTGGCCTCAGAACTCTGGCCTCAATAACGGTAGGCTTGTGTCCTGAGCTCAGGGTGGCAGTGGGCTGCTGAGAGGCTCAGGAGATAGATATTACACCTCTGTCCCGCCCAGATCCTCCTCCCGTCTGGACCACTTCACAGTAGGCAGCCAGAGATGGGGCTTTGGAGGCTGCCTCCAACCAGGCCCACTGCCATCCACATATCCCTCAGGCTGGGACCTGTCCCTGGATTAAGGAGCAGACTGTGGTATAGGGAGAGCCCCCACTTTCCTGGGACTCCTGGCCAAGGTCCCAGCCCCTGCCCACCCCATACAGCTCATGATAGGCACAATACAGCTGTGAGGTGAGTGGGTTCCAGAACACTGAAGGTCCATAGGCTGGGGAGAGCCTGGGCAGGTGCTGAGGTTGCCAACCTGGACAAACCATCACACAGCAGAGAGGTCATCAGTGCGCTTTATTCAATCATCTACTTACATCGAGTTGTAGAAAACATCACCCTGTGGCCTATTATCCTCAGCCTGGCAGTTCAGCTCCTGACAAGCAAAGACCTCTTATTCTCTACAAAGCAGGGCTGGTGTCCTAGGAAGAGGAGACACAGACCTCCTCGGTAATGTCCTGCAAGGCAGGAGCCTGGAGTCAAGACTGCAGTCCCTGAAGGTGAGCTGGCACTCACAGAGGGGCTTGGGGGAGGGCAAGGGCCCTCTTGAATCTGCACATCTTACATCCACAATGCAGTCACCAGAGCTCAGGGCACTGAGTTTCCACTAAACTTCTTTGCTAGTCAAATGGCTGATACATCACTCTGGCTGTTACAGGAACATCGATTAAATGTTTTAACAAAAGAACCATCTCAACAGAAGTTTACACATGGCCCAGCCTGGAGGCTTTAGGGGCCCCTGAAGGTCAGAAGACGATACAGACCACAAAGAGGACAACTACAGAGGGTCTGCTTTTCAGAACTGCATGGTGCCCTTCACATTTAAAATGTTGACAGTTCAAACAGAACCTGGTGCCAACTTCCTGAATCTTGTGTGAGAAGCAGTGTGAGGTGAAGACGGGAAGGAATGCTAGACTCCTGTCTGAAACTCTAGCTTCACTGAACAGGCATGGGTATCTCAGTTCCTGAAACACCCGCCGGGATGCAGTGCTCATGAACAAGGAAGCTGACGCAGCCATCTTTCAAATGCTTGGCACGAACAATGCTCAATCCTGGACCCATCATTTCCAAACCTGATCCAAATGTACTAAGTAAGGTTTGGGCAGTAAAACAGAAGGGGGATGGCTCTTAGAACCAAGGCAGGAACCCACTGCTGGACCTTCCAGTACATGTGGGTACTAAGCCCCTGAAACATAAGCAGGATGAAAACTTCCTGGGGTGATGCTGTGACCTGTGAGGGAAGAATTCAAGGCAGAGGGGACAGAAGTTCCTGAGTCAGCAAAAGCTAACACGTGACCACGGACAGCACCCAACAATGCCATGAAGGATGAGGGCAAAAGCTAGACCTGGGCCAGGCTCCAGAATGCTACTCAGAGGACAGACGGCCTCTGTGGTGGAAACACATCTGGCAACCATAAGTTTGTCCTCCTACATATACTGACAGCTGGGACCAGGTTGTCGGGGCACAGCACGTTTGACAGATGCTGCCATGGATCTACCAGCCTGCAGGTGACAGGGACGAGATCACTGAGACCCACTGCTACTCTACAAATGTCCAGGTGTGGGATGATCTCATTCTCCCTTCGTGTCATACGTATCCTTTCGTGGCCAAGAAAAAGGTTTCAAGTAATAGAGAAGTGTGGTCTCCAAGTGCAATGCTTCTCTACACCTTCCGGTTCTGTCTGAGTTCTGTGAAGGGCTTTTGGAGGCAGGGTCTTGCTAAGTAGCCCAGGCTGAACTCATGACCATCCTTCCTTCACTCCCCTAGGGAAGGTGGTGCTGAGGCCACAGGACACCTAGCTCTGGCCTACCTCCAAGTAAGAAAGGCTGCTGGCCACTCAGCAAAGAGCTCTGGACACTGAGCAACGCTGATACCACTCAGAAGGGTGCCAGCAAGCTGTTGGCAGCCAGGAGTCATCATGATGAAAGCCCCCGTGGCGCCACTGTCACACAAGCCTACTTTGTCACTCCTCAGTGGCAGGAATAGCCCCCAGCATTTGTGCTACGGACAGGCTAAGGGACTCCCCTGGTACCATGAACCAGAAGGCGAGGTGCATGGCTGAAGCCCACCTTGGCTCTGTCCTATGTGACTTACAATTTTATGTGCAGAGCCACACCGAGGCCCCAGGTGTGCTCAGGCTGCAGAGGTCAGCTCTGGACCCTAGGCCAGCCTAGGCACAGCACTGTACAGCAATGTGAACTGCTCAGTAAAAGGCTTTATGTTCAAAGGCTTCTTCCACGTATCTCACCCACTACATTAGATATTACTCATGAATTAGGCAGATGGTCATGTTTGAAAACTCAGTACTAGTCAGTTAAAGAATTAGTGGAGATCAATGGTAACTGAGCTCCAGTCAACACACCAGAGAATCCAGGTAAAACAGACACTGCTGCCAGGAAACTGCTATCTCCAGAGGCCACTTAAGTGATTACGGCACATATATCAAATGGTTAGACACAACGGTGAACATGTGTGAGCAGACATATCTATGCACATTGATATTTACGAATCCAAGTCCTCAGACTAACTGCAGGACCTTCAGAGCAGAGGAGGGCTGCACTGTTTGTCTAGTTCCTATTCCAAAGTCTCTAGGACCTGTAGGCACATCCGCTTGGCTCCGTACAGGTAATGGAGTTCATGTGGTCCTCACTCTCCTTCTGGGGATGGAGGCCAGATCAGACCCTAAGCCAGTGAGGACACATACATGGAGACACCTTCCTGCCAGCCTGGCCTGAGTCACCTCTGGAGTTGGGGTCAGTGTGAGCTGTGATCCTACTGGCGGAGATACCCTTGGCCCATGTGACTATGGCCATTCAGCACACCATGGTGTGAGTCCAGACGCAATTACTCAGAGGGCTCCAGCCCTGAATCTTCATGGAATGATGAAATTAAAAATTGCTTGATTATGGAAGTTTCTGATTTATTCCAGACAAAAATGTTAGATTTGCCACTAAAAATCACCTCAAAGCAATCACTCTCATGCCATCCCCACTGTGGCTGGTGTGGCAGGATGGAGCAGACCTGCACAGGCCCTGTGGTACCAAATGCCAGGCAGCCCTAACCCTTCACCTCTGCAGCCTCTTTCTCAGCCTTCTCCTTGACCTTCTTGGCACCCAGCTTCTCCTCCTTCTCGAGAGTTGCCACAATCTCGGCCACCTGGCTGGTAGAGATCTGAACGTTCTCTTTGTCCACCAAGTCGATCACCTACACAAACAGGATGGAGACTTAGGAGGTTCCACCACAGCACTTATCTGCTGTCCCTTAACAGCTCTGGGAAGTGGGACTCTGGGAGGAGACGGCCCTCTTCTGTGCCATGTTCTTGGCTGGGACTTGCCATTTCACTGCCTGCTATGGGTGCCCAGGTTCTTCCACTGCTCTGGTCCTCAGAGTTCCAGACCAAGGGGTCACAGATAAGCCCTTCAATGACCCTGGCACACTGCTGGGGGCCAAGGACCCTGCCCTGGATGTGGTCTCCCCTGTATAAAGAGGGGTGGGAATTGGGGTACATACATCCCCTCTGCCATGCAGACTGATAAGGGAGTAGGAAGTGTTCAACATACATGTCTAACAGTGCCTTTTTTATTTATCTTTTTTTTGTTGTTCTTTTCAGACAAGGTCTCCCTGTAGCCCCAGCTGGTCTGGAATTCATTGTGTAGACCAGGCTGGTCTCCATCTCACAGAGATCCACTTGCCTCTGCCTCCCAAGTACTGGAATTAAAGGCATGTGTCACCATGTCCGGTTCAGTGCCTTGTTTTTAAATGGAACTAAAAGAAATTAGCCAGATTTCGTGGCTATGTCTGGAAAAATCACTAAGTCGGGTGCTCTGGGAGCCATGAAGGCAGTTTCTTCTCAGAGACATGATTTAAGAAGGTCCAGGATAATCTGCAGACTGGAATCCTGAGGTTGGATCCCAATCCAGGTCCTGTGGGCTGACCTGGGGCTTAAAGCCTTCTACAGAGTCTCTTGGGTCTCAGACAGTGCCAAGAGGTTCTGGCAGGGCTGTTACACTGTCCCCAAATTCTAGTGGTATGCCAGTAGGGGCCCAGTGCCACCAGGGGCCCAGTTCAGCGCCACAAGGAGTCCAGCTGGAGCTTCACACAGTAGAGTGAGGGAAAGAAGTGGTGCACGCCTGGAACATGGCTACAGGAGCCCCTCTCATGAGAAGACTCTGTCCACTAATGCTCAGGTCCACCAGGCTCCCAGCTGGGCCTGGGGCTCCACAGTTCTTCAGATGCTGGAAGAATCAGGCCTAGAGTCACAGGGGGTGGCCTGCTCCAAAGTGACAGGCTCACTGTGCTTTTGTGACTATTGCCACATGTACAGGTGAGAGCTGAGACTGACCTAACATATGACCTCCAGGGTGGGATGCAGGGTCCTATGGTATGTGCAGACAACCTGGTACAGCATGAGCTGAAGTGGCCCTCAGCAGGGCAGGGACTTATTCTGTCATCTAACCACGTCTGCAACATCAGTAACTTCTTGCTTCCAGTAATTTCAAATGAGAACAAAAAGCTGAGACACTTGTCCTATAGACCCTACCTCCTGATACAGTTTTTAAGCTCTGTCTGAGCAGCTCCTCCTCAAACTCCTGGGCCCCAGAACAAGAGGCAGCCAGGCCCAGTCCCCTCTGTGCTGGATAGCTTTAGTGTCAGCTTGACATACCTGGGTGGAGGGAGCCCCAATTGGGGAATTGCCTCTATTGGACTGGCCTGTGGCCATGTCTGAGGGGCATCTTCTTGATGAGTGATGTGGGAGGGCCCAGCCCACTGTGGGTGGTGCCACCCCTGGGCAGGTGGGCCTGTGTTGCATAAGAAAGCAGGCTGAGCAGGGGCCAGGGGAGCAAGCCAGTAAGCAGCGTTCCTCCATGTCCTGCCTCCAGGTTCCTGCCCTGAGTTCCTACCTTGGGCTCCCTGATGAACTGTGATCTGGGAGATATAAGCTGAATAAACCCTTTCCTCCCCAAGTTGGTAGTGGTCAGAGTGTTTTGTCACAGCAATGAAGAAACAAACTAAGACACCTACCTTGACCAGGTCATCAATGTTGATCTTGCCATCCTTATTTTCATCGAGGGCTGAGGTTAGGCTGACCAGTTTGTGTTCTGGAATGTGCTTGATTTGCTTCATGGCGCTGATGAGCTCAGTGACACTGATGACGCTCTCCCTGGGGAGTACAGCCTGCATGTGATGTTGGCCAGGTGCCCTGCTTACCCACAGCTCCAATCTATGGCCCCTGACCCTGGGGCCATGAATGAATTGGAAATGTCAGCATGACCCCTTCTCTTTGGCATACAAGGTCAGCAGAGACAGCAACACAAAACACCACTGTTGGTGCTAGGGAGATAGCTCAGCGGGTAACAGAGTTTGCCATACAGCATGAGGACCTGAGTTCAAATCGCCAGAACCTATTTAAAAACCAACGAGTGGTCACGCACCTGTTTATAAACCCAATGCCAGGAGGTTAGGGGCTTGCAGGCTGAGAGCCTAGCTCCAGGTTCAGTGAGAGGGAATAAGGGAAAGGTGCCAGGTCAGGACAACCAGTACTCTTCTCTAGCTTCTGTGTGTTCACTAGTGTAGCCCAGAGCACAAACAGGGGCACATACATGTTCATTACACTCTGCATATAATTATGTATAGAAAACAACACACCCTTGGGTCCAGGAGTCCACATGTGCCTATCCCCTCAATGGAGATCACCACAACGCCATGTAGTGGTTCTCAGGCCTGTGTTTACCAGGCAGCAAATAGTTAATTCAAGAGAGAAACAAGGTTCAACTGCAGGTGGTAAGAGACCCCTGGAGCAGAAGCAGGGTCCAGCTGCAGCTACCTGCTCTTGCTATGGGGTATGTTCTAGACTTATGGGAAACCCACACACAGCTATAACACAAGAACCTGGGTGTAGATGAAGCCTAGTGGTGGCTACTCAGGAGGGCAGACCACCCATAGTGGTATAGGACAGAGGACAGGCAGAGGGAGGAAGCATGAGAAAGTCCGGCAGTCTGAAGCACCGTGAACCAAGCAGCACTAAGAATAAAGCTCAAGGGTCCAGTGCCATGGAAGGGAAGGATGGGCTGGGGGTCATAGGCAGGGAGGAGGCAGATCTGAGCTACCTAGATGAAACCAGCAGGCGATGTGGAGACTGAGCTGTGAAGGAAACAAAAACAGGAACCAAGATGCTCTTGGGACTGTGGCTGCCCCTGGGCCCCAGGTGGGGTGGTAAGGCAGAGGCCCAGAGGTACACACTTTGGAGTCAGAGCCCAGCACAGCCCTGGCCAGCTGAGGCTGGGAGTCTTGGGTTCTCTTGTCACAGCTCACTTACCCCATGGGTGAGCTCTCAGCAGAGCCTAACTTGCCATCCTGCTGACTCGTCTCCAGCTGTGCAATCAGGCCGTCGATCTGCCCAATCATCTGCTGGACCCGCTTCGTCAGTCTCTTGCTGGCTTTGGATTCTTCTATATATCGCTCGTCTCCCGTCTTTGAAAGTTCTTTCTTGATCTCCTGTAAGTCCTGGGAAAAAAGTTTGAGTCAAAAAGCAGGGGAGGCCCTATATGAACTTAACTTGAAAAAGCAATTAAATCATTAATTGGGCTGGGATATGGTCCAGGGCTACAGCATCAGCCTACTGTGCATACATAAGACCTGGGTTTGATCCCTAGCACTTCAAAACCAAACCAAACCAAACAAACAAACAAACTCTTCATTTCAACCTCAGAAAAGCTGCAAGACCTATTTCTGTCATGTAAATTTGTTCTTATTTATTTTCTACAGTTCACCACCCCAACTCCTTGTTCTTGTAAACTTGGACATTTTCTGCAGCAGAGGAAAAGGAATAGAGACTGCACCTCAACTACCTTTGTATTTGCTAGAGAAAAAACATATGAAGAATCTAGGAATTAAAAAAAACTTTTTTTGGCTTTTTTGAGACAGGGTCTCCTTGTAGCCCCAGCTGTCCTGGAACTCACTATGTAGACCAGCTGGCCTCGAACTCACAAAGATCCACCTGCCTCTGCCTCCCGAGTGCTGGG